CGTTAGTCCAAAAATCTCGCTTTATCTCGTTCTTCAACCATAGCCGATTCCATCCCCGTCAGTGACACTATGATAAGGGGGCAGTGGTACGAAATCAGTTCTTGAGCAATCCGACCGGTCAACTTCTTATATCAGCTTTTCCTCTACTTCGTGAAGTGCTCTATCAAGTCGGCCCTCCATCCTATAGCCTAAGGCTCATTCCCGGACTTGGAGATTTTACGAATCTAGCCATTGGGGTCCTCCGGACGACGGTCACACGGGGAACATGAATTGAACTCAAAACTTCCCTTATTATACCACGGATCCGGATGCAGTTTGGAAGCGAGGGTGAAAAAAAATCACGCCTGAGGTATCCTGATGGAATGCTGATTGTGGTTGGTGTCCGGTAACTTCATAATTCACCGGCCTATGCTGGATAGGTATGCTACTGGTAGTATCTACAGTATGAAGCTTACCAGAGAACCCTGAGTCCTCCGCATCAAGGGTCCTGGCAACTCGTCCAATATGGGTTTGTTCAATTAACGAGGTACAATTTCAGGAAGCCGGAGGAATGAAGCCTGCCTGATGGCTACTCTAAAACTCTATTGAATTGATGCTGACGGTTGACGAAGGAGGTCATAGGGGAGTGCTACCGATACAATTTGTACCCGATGAGAAAGAATTTTAATTCTCCCAACTATTCCAAAGTTTCGAGTTAAGAGTTGATCCCCCTTGTCCCGGTACTATCTAGGGGACAAAATAACAGGCTGTGCTCCATCGAACGTGCGTTAACGGCTCAAAAGCCCCTCAGTTCGTTTCGCATGCGGCCACAAAGGTCTACCTGAGTTAGTCCGGGTTCTGGTTCGTTGGGTTGGGTCCAGCCGGGTGGGGGCAATTTTGCTCATTTTCAACGGTGGTAAATGAATTGCGGGGCTCGAGTTCCTCCAATTCATACTTTTTACCAAATCTGACCTAGATGGAGCTTGGCACCACCATGGGGGATTCTATGGAGTACAGTATCACACTCCTGAGGCGAGTCAGAACCACTTGTGTATTGCTAATATATCTATGGGGCGACATATCCAAAAAAATTAATAAAAAGAGTTTAAAAGCAAGCCTACAAATAATCAATCCCACGAGAACGAAGAAGACTCCCGTTCCTCCGTAACAGCCCCTCTATGAACCTGAAACGATGGCCTTTATTAAGTTCCGAAAAGGAGAGAAGGAGAGGGAGAAAGAAATATAGAGGAAAGGGGAAAAGGCAAGCTCCGATGTCCTATTCCCGTATGCACCAAGACGGGACCAAACTAGCTAATTTAATAAATAAATTGGTAAGCCAACTTAATACGCTCCCCCTCTCCCACTCTTTTTTCACCCGTCTAGCCACAACAAAAGAAATACTCCTCAAGTTTCTATCTCGATCGGGGAGTCTCTGGATAGGTCGATATCTTAGGGGTTAGTCTGTATGTATCCCCCAACCGCGAGGTACACAATCCGGGATGTAGCAAATTTTTGTCTCCAAAGCGGGGAATAATGATAATGGATATTGGGTCAAGCTAAAGTTAATTAGTGTAGAGGATGATAATAGGGAATTCAATGTGCGGCGGTGACTTTTGTAATGTGGAACTAGGGTCTTTGTCGGGGTGTGTAGTATGGAGGGATAGTGGATTTGGAGAGACTGGATGTGCAGCGAAGGTCGTGCATCTAGGGTTGTATACTCTAGTGAACTCGCGATGAGGGCATCTGAAATTTGGGAAAAAGTCGCGGAAGTCTTGGAGGGCAGTTGGCAGCAGAAGGGGAGTTAGGATTCAGAACATAAAATGTGGTTTGTTCAGGGTGAGCAATAGAGCACAGTCGTGGGACGATAGACTGCCGGAGATATAGGGCATGTAGGTAGCCGTAGTAATGCGAAATGGTAGCAAGAAAAAAGAAAGAGGGGGGGAATGTGGGATAGGAGAGAAAAAGCTTCCAGAATTTGGTGGCGGATTTCGGAATAGAATATTCAAGTAGTCGGCAAAGGCCACTCCGGTTCTGCCGCGTGGGTCATGCTAGCAAAATTAAAGATTTGGATCTGCCCCATGTGCGAGGAGAAGCTGCACAATCGATTCACAACCAAATGCTTTAG